ACTGCTGGGCTGGGTATGGAGCCAGCAGGGCCGCCTGGCCAGGACCCTGTCCACAGGAGCAAAATGCCATCTCCAGGGCCCTTGTGGGCGGAAGGCTGCCTGCCCTGCCTTCACTGCCACCACCGCCAGCACAGGCGCTGACCTGCCACACTGACCTGTGAGCCCAGCACCCCCACACCCCATTTCCCATTGTTCACCCCATCTTCCCCACTCCTGTGCTCCACTGATATGCTACACAGTAAAGGGTTGTGGAGAAGAATTGGTGAAGAAATAATGATTGGTGTTCCTGGGACACGGGGCGGCATGTTCTCTTCTCAGAGGGGCCAAAACAGGGCAGAGAAGGCTCTTGACAGAGGACTTAGCAGTTGAGTGGACCTGCCCTGAGGAAAGCTGTGTGTGTGGTGGTGGGGGGGGGGTCTGGAAGAGTCCTGGTTGTCTAAGTGGTCCTCTGACAGCATCATGTAGGCCCTGGCCCTTAGGAACCAAGTGAGGAGAGGTATGTACCAGCAGGTACCATATTGAGGGAAGGGCTCTGGAAGCCTCTTCCAGGCCTCATGAGGAAAGATGATTTTCTGAGTGTCCTGAGCCCCAAGTCCTCCTCATGGTGTGCCTTACACAGAGACAGAAGGGCTGGTCAAGTAGCCAGGTGCCCGTGGCTCCTGCCACTCATCTTGCCACAAAACCTGAAACCATATCTGAAAAATAATTGAAGCAAAAAAGGCTGGGGCCATGGCTCAAGTGTTAAACACCTGCCTACCAAGTTCAAGGCACTGAGTTCAAACCTCAGTATTGAAAAAAAATAAAAAAGAGGGGGAGGGCTGGTCAAGTGAGGAGCTGGGAAGTTGCCCGTTCCCTCTGCCACCTTTCACTTTGCCACTGTTCTGAGGTAGGCCTCTCTTAAAAGGCGGAGTTTCCCTGTAGAGCTCAACCAAGGATGTCTCTAGGTGCCTAGTAAGACAGGACAGGGCAGCTAGAGGTCAGACTTGACCAGGAAGTGTGGAAGCAAGGGGTTGAGAGGACAGGAAGGTCCTAGAAGAGTCTGGTGCTCCTGATTTCTCCACTTCATCCCCAAAGGCCAACTGAGACTTGGGGGTGTGTCTCTTCCACCAGGATTGGAATGGAAGGGTAGGGCTGAGAGGCGGCTCTGGCAGCCTCTTTGTCCTCCTCCATGTTCTCAGTGCCAGCTGAGGGAGGCTGACTCATGTTGAAGCAAGAGCAGCAAAGATCCTGCCAAGTGAGGGAGGAGCCATGACAGTAAGGCCCTGCCTGGGCCTTGACTGCTGGGAGGGGCTGCTCACCTGCACAGCAGCCAGTAGAAGTAGGAACTCAGACTCATTCCATTGTAAACTAGGAATATTTCTGTATAATACAAATACATCCAGGCATGGTGGCATATGCCTGTAATCCCAGCTACTCAGGAGGCAGAGATTAGGAGAATCACAGTTCGAAGTCAGCCCGGGCAAGTAGTTCATGAGACCCTGCCTCGAAAAAACCCATCACCAAAAAAAGAGCTGACAGAGTGGCTCGAGGTGTAGGCCCTGAGTTCAAGCCCCAGTACTGCCAAAACAAAGCAAAACAGCAAAAAAACAAATGACATGCTAATTCAAAAATAAAATAAAATAAGGAAAAACATACAAGTCACACCAAAACTCCATTGATTGCTATAACTCCCACAATTAGTAATGTATTATTTAGAATTAAACATTGCCCCCCAGAGGTAGGCTGAACAATGACCCCCACAAAGATGTCCATACCCTAGCAGACACTGGTGTCACACCTGTAAGCCTGGCTACCAAGGAGGCAGAGATCAGGAGGATTGGGGTTCGAAGCTAGCCAGGGCAAATAGTTCATGAGACCCTGTCTTGAAAATACCCATCACAAAACAGGGTTGGCAGAGTGACTCAAGTGGTAGAGCACCTGCTTAGCAAAGGTGAGGCCCTGAGTTCAAACCCCAGTACCAAAAAAAGAGATGTCCATATCTTAACTTCTAGAATCTGTGAATATGTTACCTTCCATGTAACAGGATGTGATTAAGTTAGGGATTTTTTTCTTTTTTCGGCCTGGACTCTACTATCCTCTTGGCCTCCCCTCCAGGGGTTGCCTCGTCCAGACCCCGCCTTCAGGTAGTTTGAGTGCATATTATGCTGTTTTAAGGAACCACCTTGGGCAGGGGTAGCACCTGCCTAGAAAGCTTGAGGCCCCGAGTTCAAAACTGGTATCGCCAAAAAAAGAAAAACCAAGGAGCCACCTGATCCCCAGTGTTAGCCCTTTTCCCAGAGTCCTCTGCTCCAGCCAGAGGACCTTCAATTCTGCTGACCAGAGAGGCTGAGTCACTGGGAGAGGTTCTCCCAGGTGTTCTGAGGCTAATTAAAAATGCTGGTGTGGGAGGTGAGGCTCAAATGGTAGAGCACCTGCTTTGCAAGTGAGAAGCCCTGAGTTCAAACCCAGACCCACCAAAAAAAAAAAGCAGTGTGTTAGTCATCTTTCCACTGCTGTGAATAAACACTTGAGAAAATCAACTTAAAAGGAGAAAAGGATCTTTTGATTCATATTTTCAGTCCATTGTTGCTTGGCTCCATTGTTCTGGAGCAGAGCAAAGCTGCTGGGAACAGTGGCTCACATCTGTAATACCAGCTACTGGGGAGGGATCCAGAGGATTGAGGTTCGAGGTCTGCCCAGGAAAACGTTTATAAGGTTCATCTCAAGCAATAAAAGCTGGAGATGGTGGCACACACCCTCATGCCAGTTACTCAGGGAGCATAGGTAGGAGGATGAGGGTCCAGGCCAGCCCAGACATAAGTGTGAGACCCTATCTCAAGACTAACCGAAACAAAAGGGGCTGGGGGCATGGCTCAAATGGCAGAATGCCTACCTGCAAATGCAAAGCCATGAGTTCAAGCCCAGAACTGCACAAAAAGAGGAGGGGTTGGGGTCAGGGTCCTAATATTCTCTTCAGGGACACTCTATCCCAGCAGCAGCATCAGTTGCAGACCAAGCTTCAACACATGATCCCTTGGGGGACACTTGAGATCAACCCATAACAGCTTGGGTTTGTTAATCATAACCATGAGGACAAGCAAGATGGTGGTTACAGAATAAGAAAGGTTACGAATATGTATGAATAAGCAGAAAGTACATACCATGCCCAAGCTTCCTATGCACCAGCCCCTCCTCACAAATTAAGTTTCAGTGTCTGTACTTTATGAATGAGAAACTGAATTACAGAGAAATTAAGTGACCTTCAAAAGGTCACACAGCTACTTAGGGATCAGGCCTGATCTCAGTTCAGAGTCTATGCCTCTAACTACCACATTATTCTCTACCTCCTAAAAAATATTTTAAGCTGAAAATTTTCCCATTGCTGTCCCATTTTTAACCAAGCTGTAGTTTTCTACAGATGGAAAGGTTTGGGAAATAGTGGCATGGGTGAGGGCCTGCCAACTTGTCACTTCTAATCCAAAAGACTTAATAAAGTGGTGAACGGAAACCAGGTTAATTTAATCGGGACACAACCACCTCTGGATCTAACACTGACTCTTAGACACTGAACTTACAGCTTTACTGTCTTTTCTGAGAGCAGTTGCATTCTGACCACAGACATGTGACTAACTTAGCCATTGCTGATTTTCTCAAAAGGTTTTGCATTGCTCAAAGAATATTAATCACCAAAGCATATTTTCGATGTCATTTTTAAGCTTGGCAGCCACTGAGGCTTAGGGAAAAGCACCGAGGGGCTGGATGGGCCCAGGAAACCTGGGTTCTGGTCCACACTGTGTCAGTCTGCAGAAGTTCCCAGTATGTACTTGAACAAGGTGTCTGGGGTTGAAGCATTGAGAAATGCTTCACCAAACCAAACTTTGGTTTGGTTTTGGTTGTTCACAGGCCCCAGCTTGGGCTGCCAGGAAGGTGAGGGAAACCAGTATCTTGTCCTCTGAGGATCTCCTCTTGTCTGACTCATAGAACACTCCAACAATTTGTCCTCTCAATCCTTGGAGGCTTCTGAGGGATACAGGCCTGAGGTGACTGGAGTCAACGATGGTCCCAACTTCCCCAATCCCAAAAGAGGAAAGACTAACATAGGACCCCAGATTGCCAGAGCAGATAGGGGCCAAGATGGGCTCGTCCAGAGGGTCAACACACTGACCTTGGGTCCATTGCATCGTAAAGAAACTCTACAGGGAGTTTCTTACTTAAAACAGAGCCCAGCTCAGTGGTGAGCAGCATCTGTAGTCCCAGCTACTTGGGAGTTTGAGGCAGGAAGATTGCTTGAGCTCATAAGTTCAAGGCCAGCCTAGGCAACATAGTGAGACCCCTGTCTCAATAAAAAACAAAACAAAAACAAAACCTAGCTTCTTGGAGGCTGAGTCAAAACATAAGGGAGTAGGGCCTGGGGCTCCCCAAGGATTCTTTCTTTGTGTGCTTGAGAAGCAGGCACTCTAACTCTTGAGCCACACTTCCAGTCCATTTTGCTCTGGTTGTTTTTGAGATAAGGTCTCAGGAACTATTTACCTGGGCTGGCCTTAAACTGCAATTTTCCTGTTCTTAAGTCTCCCAAGTAGCTAGGATTACAGGCACGAGCTAGTAGCAAGTGCTTGGCTCCCCAGAGATTCTTATGCAGAGAAGCCACAAGAAAATTTTGACTTATTCAGATCTTTCTACTTTTCCTTGGAAAGCTGAGGACCAAAGAGGCCTTGAGTCAGACATTAACAGAACTCAAAACATCCAGTTAAGACATTCTTTCTACACCAAGGCCAGGTGCCTTCAGGATTCAAAAGAATTGCCCATCATGTATTTATTTTAATTTTCTCAAAATCAAAGTTATCAATCCACACAGTTCAAAGAGTCAGATATGAGTAGTTTTCAAGGCTTGTATGAGAACCATAGTCCCTGCCACTCTCTCCCACCTGCCCTTATTCAGAGCAACACCTGCAACTCTTTCAGCTGGTTGGTTGGTATCTAAGCCCTCCCCTCCCCCTACCTTGGCATTGCTTGTGTTTTAGATGGAACATGTATTGCTTGGTTTGAATGATGCAGTTAGGATAGACTGACAGGCCTGGCCCTAGACTGGTGGCCCAGGCATTGTGGATGTCACTGGGCATAGGCGACCAGCTCCTCCAAGGCTTGTTCCTGACGATTGCCATGGACCAGCAACACCTCCTTGATTCGTTGCTGCTGGAAGCCCATGTCGCTGAACTGCTCCCAGAGGCGCAGAAACTCCCCTGCCTGGGGGGGGGGGAGGAGGATGAGGGTGCTGGAATTTCAGGAGACCTGCCTCAGGGACCCGGTGGGGAGACCTCCCTGCGCCCACTGGATCTCATTCTATCCCAGAAAGCTGTGATTCCCTCAGGCCAGGAAAGCCTGGTCCCGGGCAGTACCTGTGTGTTTCTGTCCTTCTGGGGGGTGTGGGCTCTGCCCTTTCTTCCTCTGCCAAGGAAAGAAGGCCTCAGTCTGGCCACTGACTCTGGCCTGGTCTTACGTGTGCCCCTCCCAGCTCATTTCCTACGCTTCCTCTGTGGGGAGCATGCTGGGACAGGGTGAAGAAGGCTGCGCACTGGCAGCCAGGAGGATGCACAGCCCGAGTCCAGGAATGCTGCCATGTCCTGGAATTGTCAGGTTTCATGCAGTGCAGCCTCTGCCTTCCCTCTTCCTCTGACCTGGGGCTGGCACTGTCCCTCTCCTCCTCAGCACCTCCGTCCCTCCCACTGCCTCTGTGAACAGCTGCTCTGCTGGCTATGGACAGGTCGTATTTGCTGGGCACTCAGAATTTTCTGTAGGATCCGCAGCTGCCTGTATTCTGGGTAGGTGGCACACTCTGGGTTCATGCATCTCGGTACCACCCATGTCTCCTTTCTCACCGAGTAGCCATTCAAGAATATGTGCTGTGTTGATGCATTATGTCAAACAAAGCCCCTGGTCTCTCCACTTCCAGTTGTCCCTACCACTCCCTTCTCCCTCAGTTCCCTGCTTTTAGCCATGTTCCGCCTCCTGGGGCCAGTGGGCAGGCTGTCTCCTATCCAGCCCACGGGCTGCTCTGGGCTGTGTGTCTCCCTCCCTCCCATCCCCTGGGACCCAGGCAGAAGGCCCAGTTGACCTGGCTCTCTGAGAACTGGAACAGCTCCATGGCCTCATCCACCAGGACCTCCTCGTAGCCCTGCTGCAGCAGCCTTTCCCGGGCACTGAGGTAGCCGAAAAACTGGACCAAAACGGGGCAGAGAAAGAAGAATGATAAGAGTGGCAGGGCCAGTAGACTGGGTTTGGAAGCACTTTAAGTCACCCAAGTGTCTGAGCTTAGGGCTGGGCAGACTGGGCAACCCCCCATATATGCTGGGCCCCCAGAGATAGCAGGAGCCCAACAGAAGAGGAACAAAAACCTCCTCTGAGAGCCTGGGACAGGTGCTGGGGTCCAAAGCTGAGGGCTGGAATCCAGTAAAAGGTCTGCCAAGGTGGGCTAAGGTAGTCACAGAATCTCTGTGGGGAGCAAGACAGACTTCTAAGAGGCTGTCTCATTGGCCACCCCTAGGCAACTCTACATATGAGCCCCACCACCCCAGCCTGCCCACACTCCCTGCTGAGCACCCTCTTGTGAAAGGAGCCTTCTCACCCATCCACACCCATGTACCCCTTCCCACACCCAGACACACCAATCACCCAGGACTCCTTAAGCCTCTACTAGGCAATAGTCCTGCACGAGGCTGGGGGAGGGAAGGTGAGCAGAGGAGGACCCTACCTATTCTGGTCATTCCCTGCTTAAGTCCCCAGGGTTTCTTCTACCCTCAGGAGAAAGGACTGCCTTCTCAGTGGGCTCAGAGGCCTGCTCCACCCTGTCTACATCCCCAACAGCTTCCCCTTTTTTCCAGGCTGTCTTTCTGGTTCCCCCAGCCAGGGCTGGCCTCATCCCCGCCCAGAAGCCTTTCTGTCACCTCGCTTCCATCATCACTGGGTGCGTTCCCTGGTGCTCCTAGAGCCCCTGTGCTCCGCCAGAGCAGCACACACAACTCCGTAACTGCTTCACTTTGTCTTTCTCATCCACTAACTTTTTGCTCCCCAAGGAAGGGTTGGTCAGTCTTGTTCATCACTGTGTCCCAGCACCAGTGTGGCCAGTGTAAGGAGCTCAATAAATACATGGTGTGTTTATAAAATGCATTAAGAACCACCTTCAGGGAATTCATAGCTTAGTGGGGGAGATAAACCAGATGCAGGACAGCATCAGTGCCAGCCAAATCAAAGCAGAATGTATGGGGGATGGGCGCCCAGTGAAGGTCCAGACCATAAGAATTATGAGTATTCGATGAGAAGGTGCAGGTCTGGTTTCTGCAGACCCTCAGAGGAAGCAGAATGCACAGACTGTCTAACCCAATGGTGTTCAAACTGTTGTACATCCTGACCAGTTTGCCCCAGCATAGGACTCTTCAGCAATAGCAGGCTGAAATTCTGGGCTGCCTGGGAGAATGGAGGCCTGGTGCCAAGGAACTCCAGAGTCCAGGGCTCCTGCCTAGACCCTGCACTGAGCACATTTTGAAAGCCACATACCCACATCCCTGTTCATAGCTGAGGAAACTGAGGCCTTGGCAGGTAAGGTGATTTGACAGATACCAGAAGGAGGGCCCCGAACACCTGACAGTGCCTGGTCCCTAAGGGAGATTGGCTGCTAGGGGAGGGGCTCTTGGAGAAACCTTCACTTCAGAGAAGGGAGGGCAAGGGCAAGGGCAGCTGGTGGATGTTCCCTTCACCTTTTGGCTTATCCACAGCAATGGTTCTCAATCTTGGTGCTCGTTGCAACCACTGCAGGAGCTTTGAGCACTACTGATGCTGGGCCTCACCTCCATAAGTTCTGGTATAATTGGTTAGGGTGTAGCCTGGGTATTGAATGTTTTTATGGCTTTCCAGGCAATTTTAATATGCTGCCAAATTTGAGAACTCACGACTAATAGGACAACTGGCCAGGCTGTTATATCAGGACCATATGCAGATCTTCTTATCTGTAGGCCTTCGGGCAGGGCCTGAGAATCTGTGTGGTAAAGATTTTGCCACTTGGTTACCTTTTGGGTCTCTGGGACTGTAGAAGCTATGGGCTGCCTCAGGCCTAGGATAAGTGAGGATGGCATCTTCAGGCCCCAGTCTGATGTTGGTGGGACAGGCACAGGAAGAAAAAGAGTAAGTGCCAACTGCCCTTGGGGCAGCTTTCCAGTCTGATGTTTAGAAAACAATGCAAAGGGGGAAGACACATGGTGGGGGTATGAAGGCAACGGCATTTAATACTACCTCTTGTCCCTACTTCCAATCCTTCCAAGCTTCCTTTTGCATGTTGGGTCATTTACCAAATTCTCAGTCCAGCCTTCAAGGACCCTCAATTTGCTCCAAATTCCCTGCCTTATCTCCCACCAGTTTGCCTGATTCACCTCCCCCAGCAAGACTAGTTGTATCAGGGCTACCCAAACACTTCTCTCCTGCCCCCACTTCTTTGTTCCTACCTAGAATATCATCCTTTCTCCTTACTTCAAAGTCAGAGCCCCTCTAACCTTGAAGTCCAGCTTGGTACCTCCATGGAGGCTTTCCTGATTGCTGGAATCTCCTTTAGTTGGTTCATGATGACCATAAAGTCTTTATGGTCCCTCCCATCAAGAGATAGAGTCTATTTTTCCACCTTTTAAATTTGGGCTTTTTTTTTTTTAATTTTGGCATGCTTTGACCAACAGAATACGATGGAGGTGACTATGCCCAATTTTAGCCTAGGCTTGGGAAGCCTTGCAGCTTTCACTCTTGCATTTTTTTAAATCAAGTGGGCTAGTCTGTTGGAGAAAGATGACCCAGTTGACCAGTATCACCAATCAATGGTCTTAGACCATTCAGCACCAATTAAGTCACCAAACTGTAGCTATAAGAGAGCTCTGGTGAGAGAATCATGGGCATTGAAGAAGGAGAAGAGATGCAAGCAAAGGGAATGCATAATATATTCAACAAAATAATTACAGAAAATTTCCCAAATCTAGAGAAAGATATTCCCATACAGATGCAAAGGCCTCAGACACAAACAGACGACCAAAATAGAACTACCACGGTACATTATCATTAAACAACAAGTACAGAATAAGAAAGAATATTGAAGGCTGTAAGAGAAAAAACAATAACATACAAAGGTAAACCCATCAAAAATCACAGCAGACTTCTCAACAGAAACATTAAAAGCAAGAAGAGCATGGGTGAGTCTTCGGGCACTGATGAAAATAATTCAACCCAGGATACTCTACCCAGCAAAACTATCATTCAAAATAGATGGAGCAATAAAAGTCTTTCCATGATAAGCAGAAACTAAAACAATATGTGACCACAAGCCACCACTACAAAAGATTCTTCAAGGATTCTGCACACAGAAAGTGAAACCCAACTAACCATGAAAAGGGCAGGCAGCCAACAAAACAGGAAAAAAAGAAACAAAAGTAGAGAGTAACCTCAACTTAGGTACACACATCAAAACCTTCAAACAACTAAGACAACTAAATGACAGGAATCACCACATACCTATCAGTACTAACACTTAATGTTAATGGACTTAATTCCCCATCAAAAGGCACCTTTGACGAAATGGATTAAAAAGGAAGATCCAACAATTTGTTGCTTACAGGAGACCCATCTCACCGACAGAAATAAGCATAGGCTTAGATGAAAGGCTGGAAGAAGATTTACCAAGCCAATGGCCCCCAAAACAGGCAGGAGTAGCAATACTTATCTCTGACAAAGTAGACTTCAAACCTACATTGATCAAACGAGATAAAGAAGGACATTCCATACTAATAAAAGGGGAAATAGACCAAAAGGAAATAATAATTATCCTATATGCACCCAATGTCAATGCACCCAATTTCATCAAACATACCCTGAAGACCTAAAGCATATATTAATCCAACACAGTGGTGTGGGAGACTTTAACACCCATTATCATCAATAGATAGGTCATCCAAACAAAAAATCAATAAAGAAATCCTAGATCTAAAATATACATAGATCAAATGGACCTAGTGATGTCTACAGAACATTTCATCCAACTTCTACACAATATACATTCTTCTCAGCAGCCCATGAACCTTCTCCAAAATAGATCATATCCTAGGGCACAAAGCAAGCCTCAGCAAATATAAGAAAATAGAAATTATACATGCATTCTATCTGATCAAATGCAATAAAACTAGAACTCAACAACAAAAGTAAAGACAAAAAACATGCAAACAGCTGAAACTGAATAACTCATTGCTTAATGAACAATGGCATTGATGAAATAAAAGAGGAAATTAAAAGTTCCTGGAAGTCAATGAATGAAACAACAACCTACCGAACCTATGGGACACAGCAAGGCAGTCCTGAGAGGAAAGTTTATAGCCATGAGTGCATATATTAAAAAGACTGAAAGATCCCAAATCAATGACCTAATGATACATCTCAAACTCCTAGAAAAACAAGAACAAGCAATCCAAAACAAATAGAAGGAGAGAAATAATAAAAATAAGAGCTGAAATCAATGAAATAGAAACCAAAAAAACCATACAAAGAATTAATGAAACAAAAAGTTGGTTCTTTGAAAAAATAAACAAGATCACAGACCCCTGGCAAACTGACTAAAATGAGGAGAGAAAAAACCCAAATTAGTAGAATCAGGAATGCAAAAGGGGATAACAACAAACACATGGAAGTCCAGGAAATCATCAGAGACTACTTTGAGAACCTATATTCAAATAAATTTGAAAATCTTAAAGAAATGGACAGATTTCTAGATACTATGATCATCCAAAACTGAACCAAGAGGAAATTAATCACCTGAATAGATCTATAACACACAAATGAAATTGAAGCAGCAATCAAGAGTCTCCCAAAAAAAAAGTCCAGGACCTGATGGATTCTCTGCTGAATTCTATCAGACCTTTAAGAAGAACTGATACCAACCTCCTTAAACTGTTCCATGAAATAGAAAGGGAAGGAAAACTGCCTAACACATTTTATGAAGCCAGTATTACACTTATCCCAAAACCAGGCAAAGACACTCCAAAAAGGAGAACTATAGGCCAATCTCCTTAATGAACATTGATGCAAAATCCTCAATAAAATAATGGCAAACCGAATTCAACAACACATCAAAAAGATCATTCACCATGACCAAGTAGGCTTCATCCAGGAATGCAGGGGTGGTTCAACATATGAAAATCAATAAACGTAATAAACCACATTAACAGAAGCAAAGACAAAAAACCACTTGATCATCTCAATAGATGCAGAAAAAGCCTTTGATAAGATCCAACACCATTTCATGATAAAAGCTCTAAGAAAACTAGGAATAGAAGGAAAGTACCTCAACATTATAAAAGCTATATATGACAAACCTACAGCCAGCATTATACTAATAGTGAAACCATTCCCTCTAAAATCAGGAACGAGACAAGGATGCCCACTATCTCCACTCCTACTCAACATAGTACTGGAATTCCTAGCCAGAGCAATTAGGCAAGAAGAAGGAATAAAAGGAATACAAATAGGTAAAGAAACTGTCAAAATATCCTATTTGCAGACATGATCCTATACCTTAAAGACCCAAAAAACTCTACTCAGAAGCTCCTAGACACCATCATAGCTATAGCAAGGTAGCAGGATATAAAATCAACATAGAAAAATCATTAGCATTTCTATACACTAATAATGAACAAACTGAAAAGAATGTATGAAAACAATTCCATTTACAATAGCCTCAAAAAAAATCAAATACCTAGGTGTAAAAACAAAGGATGTGAAAGACTCTACAAGGAAAACTATAACTTCTGAAGAAAGAGATTGAGGAAGACTATAGAAAGTGGAGAGATCTCCCATGCTCATGGATTGGTAGAATCAACATAGTAAAAATGTCTATACTCCCAAAGTAATCTACATGTTTAATGCAATTCCCATCAAAATTCCAATGACATTCATTAAAGAGATTGAAAAATCTACTTAAATTTATATGGAAACACAAGAGGCCACGAATAGCCAAGGCAATACTCAGTCAAAAGAACAATGCTGGAGGTATCACAATACCTGACTTCAAACTATATTACAAAGCAATAACAATAAAAACAGCATGGTACTGGCACAAAAACAGACATGAAGACCAGTGGAACAGAATAGAGGACCCAGATATGAAGCCACACAACTATAACCAACTTGTCTTTGACAAAGGGCTAAAAATATACGATGGAGAAAAGACAGCCTCTTCAACAAAAACTGCTGGGAAAACTGGTTAGCAGTCTGCAAAAAACTGAAACTAGATCCATGTATATCACCCTATACCATATTAACTCAAAATGGATCAAGGATCTTAATATCAGACCCAAACTCTAAAGTTGGTACAGGAAAGAGTAGGAAATACTCTGGAATTAGTAGGTATAGGCAAGAACTTTCTCAATGGAACCCCAGCAGCCAGCAACTAAGAGATAGCATAGATAAATGGGACTTCATAAAACTAAAAAGCTTCTGCTCAACAAAAGAAATGGTCTCTAAATAAGAAGAGACACCCACAGAGTGGGAGAAAATATTTGCCAGCTACACATCAGACAAAGGACTGATAACCAGAATATAGGGAACTTAAAAACTAAATTCTCCCAAAATTAATGAACCAATAAAGAAATGGGCAAGTGAACTAAACAGAACTTTCTCAAAAGAAGAAATTCAAATGGCCAAAAACACATGAAAAAATGCTCACCATCTCTAGCAATAAAGGAAATGCAAATTAAAACCACACTAAGATTCCACCTCACCCCTGTTAGAATAGCCATCATTAGCACACCACCAACAGGTGTTGGCGAGGGGGGAAAAAAGGAACCCTCTTACACTGTGGTGGGAATGTAAACTAGTACAACCACTCTGGAAAAAAATTTGGAGGCTACTTAAAAACTAACATTGATCTACCATTTGATCCAGCAATACCACTCTTGGGGATATACCCAAAAGACTGTGACACAGGTTACTCCAGAGGCACCTGCACACCCATGTTTATTGCAGCACTATTCACAATAGCCAAGTTATGGAAACAGCCAAGATGCCCCACACTGACGAATGGATTAAGAAAATGTGGTATCTATACACAATGGAATTTTATGCAGCCATGAAGAAGAACGAAATGTTATCATTCTGGTAAATGGATGGAATTGGAGAACATCATTCTGAGTGAGGTTAGCCTGGCCCAAAAGACCAAAAATCGTATGTTCTCCCTCATATGTGGACATTAGATCAAGGGCAAACACAACAAGGGGATTGGACTTCAATCACATGATAAAGTGAGAGCACACAGGGAGGTATGAGGATAGGTAAAACATCCAAAAAACTAGATAGCATTTGTTGCCCTCAATGCAGAGAAACTAAAGCAGATACTTTAAAGCAACTGAGGCCAATAGGAGAAGGGGACAGGAACTAGAGAAAAGGTTAGTTCAGAAGAATTAACTTAGAAGGTAACACACATGCACAGGAAAGCAATGTGAGTCAACTCCCTGGATAGCTATCTTTATCTCAACTAGCAAAAATCCTTGGTCCTTCCTATTATTGCTTATACTCTCTCTTCAACAAAATTAGAGATAAGGGCAAAACAGTTTCTGCCTGGTAGCGAGGGGTTAGGGGGAGTTTGGGAGGGATGAGGGGTAAGGGAGAGGGCAGGGGGGAAGGGGGGAGAAATGACCCAAACATTGTATGCACATATGAATAAATAAAAAAAAAAGAGAGAGCTCAGATGAGACTAGCAGAACCATCAGCTGAGTCCAGCCCCACAAACTGCTAACCCACAAAACCGTGAGCAAATAAGTGTTGTGCTAAGCCACTAAGTTTTGGGGTGAATTCTTCAAGAATAGAATCTGCGTGTGGTAGAATCTGTGGTGCACCTCCATGTGTCCTTTCACTGAAGGAGTGTGGCCCTGGATACTGGGAAAGCTGGGGACACTCTTCAGATATTGCCTAAACTGCAGAGATCCAGGTCTCTTGTCACCTGGTTTTCAAATGTGGTAACTGACTGAGATAGGAGTATAAAGGTCTGACCATATCAGCCCCACTGAATTCTGAGGGACTACAGCGCCTCAGAGCTGTGGGGCTGGCACTGTTGTTGGGGTCTACATTATAGCTCAACTCCCTCTGCCCCTTCTGCTTCTGCTCCCTCCCTTCCAAGGAGTTGTCCCAAGAGCCTTTTTAATTAAACATCCTAAGTGCCAAAATCCATCAGAGTCTGCTTCTTGGGGAACCCAACATACAACACTGGTTTTTATGCACCTTGGTTCTCCCTACAGCTCCTAGCCACATCTAAACTCCCAGGAAGTACCCAGTGAATACTCCTGACTAAATGAATGGCTAGGTAGTGAAAAGAAATGTCTGTGAATATGGATAAACTATTCATTGAGGGATGTGGTTAAAGCTAGTCTATCCAATATGGTAGCCACTAGTCATAAGTAGCTATTTGAATTTAAATTAATTACAATTAAATGAAATTTAAAATTTAGTTTCTGAATCACACTAGCCATATTAGCCAATAAGCTAATGGCTACTATTTGGATAACACTTTCTCTCTTAGAGAAAGTTCTGCTGGACAGTTCTGGAAAGATTCTTGACTTCCCAAAGCTCCAGCCCCTGTATTTGGGACAGGGCCTGGGACAGGAGTAGAATATTAAGATTCCTCAAGTGTGCCTGGGGATTCCTAAGAAACTCCTGTGGAGTGGGTAGCAGTAGGGTCTAGATAGAAACTTGCTCACAAACCCCAATAATTATGCCAGGCTAAGGTTCTGCTTTTAAAGAGAAGGAAACAAAACTTCAAGTTAAAAATTAGAAGCTACTCATTTGGCTCTAGCCTCTCAGTCCTCAACTCTGGGCCTCCCACTTACCTGGCTCAGGCTCTGCCTCCCTGTCTTCTGCAGTGCCACAATGGCCCTTCCCAGGGGATATCCCAGAGCGACCACTGGCCCGATGAGGTCCTGCTCCTCCTGGCTCAAGGCAGACAGCAGGTCGGCTGTAGAATCAGGATGCGATCTGTGGGAGTTGAGGGTCTGGGGTGTCCCTCTAAGAGGTGGCAGGCAGGTGTATGGGCTGAGGGACTGAAATACAGAAAGGCTGGCATGTCAGTTAGCATAGGAGGGGACACTCAGCTGGGCTGGACATTTTAAGAGGTGGCTTTGTGTACCACATTCTCTGTAGAGTGAGGCTAGCATTATGAAGGGCTTACAATCCTACAGACTCCAGCTCTCCACTGTTCACTCCTTGTACTCAGATGTATAATGGAGGCAATCTCCGAAGTACCCCATGGGGCTGTTAGGAGGCATAGCTAATACAACATGAGCACAGTGACTAGCAAAGGTACTGCCATACAGAAACTGTCAGGAAAGCCTAATATTTCATTGATTTCTTAGAACAACCTGAAAATGAAATATGATAGGCAGTTGGGTGTGGTGGTACACACCTGTAGTCCCAGCTCCTGGGGGGGCCAAGGCAGGAGAATAGGAGTTTGGGCCAAACTGGGAAACACAGTGAGATCCCATCTCAAAGAAAATAAATAAAAAAGATAGGTCCATCCTGTTATCCCATCTTATAGATATTAAAATCGAGGCTTGAGAAGTTAATGATCTGATATAACACACATTTAGCATGTGAACCCTACTCAGAGGGTTCTTTACCCCTTGGGCAGGGGGAGGGCAGGTGTTTGGCTAGGCTGGTCAGCAGGGGAGAGCAGGGCAAGAACTGGGCACATTGGCCTTTCAGTTGTACTCAGATACTCAGGCAGATGCTAAACTTGAAGGCATTGCTATTGGTTTGGCCATCAGCAGCAGCAGCTCACCTCCCATGAGGACCAACTCCCTCTGTTAGCCATGAATACAGCACCCATCCCTCCTCCCAAGGAAAGCCCAACTGCAGCCCAGGCTCCAGGCAGTGCACATGTGGGGCATGTGAATTTCTCACCCATCCAGTCTGCTCAGGGATTTTCCTGCTGGAACATCACCCCAGGGTCTGCCTTTTACCTCTAAGGTGAAAACATCCAAATTTTAGGAGTAGCCTTGAAATAGAGTCTTAGTTACTCTCTGTCTTAGTTTTCTAATCCCCAGAACTATCTGCCCCATCCTCCCCCAAGGACTGCTGCTAGAGTTAAATTGATTTTCTCCAGGGAAGAATCACCCTGTCATCACCTCTGATCCTTGAGGTAGGCATGTTCGCCGAGGCTCTTCTCCTGTACTGTTTGCTCTAACAACTGTGGGAAGAGTTACTGGCCCACTTTACAGGTAGATATGGCACCTCTAAGTGCTTTAGGGACTCACCTAAGGTCACATACCAGTGAACAGGAAAGCCTCAATTCTCTCTCTCTTTTTTTTAAATCTAATTTCATCCTAGCCTTGTTCTGCAGCATTTCCTGGCCTGATCACGGGGCAGAAAGCTATGCCCAAGCGCAACCTTCTGCTACCAGTCCTGATCTACCCCATTTATTCTGGATCTAGGTTTTATGGAGCCTGATAGTTAAAACAATTTGGAGACTTAAAAGAAACAGAACACACAATTAGGAATACAAATTGTGTACAAGGCCTTGTAAGGGACAAATGAGGGGCTTCTTGGGCTTCACTAATATGTCCACTCTGCTCCTAGTATTTTCCAGTTCACTTCTTCCATGCTAAAGCCTCCCATCCTGCAACAGCCCTGCTCCTCTCCCAATACCTGACCCAACCAGGCAGGGATAGGCCTTGTCCCACATCCCCTGGGCCAACTCTCTTTTTATCCTGTGGCTTTGACTTTAGCTCTCAAGTCAGTGTCTGACAGGAAGTAATATCCCTGACTAAGCCTCCAACCTACCCAGCCTGTAGCAAGTCACCCAGGGGGAAGCCCTAGATTCCATGTCTTCAACAGACATTCACTGAGCACCCGCTACGGGTCAGGTCTACGGCTAGGGGTCCTGGAAGCAAAAAGAGATGCCAGCCCCCATCCCTGTCCTAAAAGAACTGGTACTCCATTGAAGAGTGGATTATCACAGCCATTGCAATCATTGTGACATGCGCCTCAATAGAGGCAACCAGGCTCAGCGGGAAACCGAAAGAATGAGGGCTTTTGAGCAGGGAATATTCTAGGCAGAGGACTGCAGGAGGAGCGCCAGGTGGGAGCGGGTAAAAATAGGAACAGGCAGCGCTGCGGCCGCAGGTCTGGAGACCCAGATCCTGGGGGCCTCTGCTTGGTAAGCTGCGGCCTTGGCCGAGCGAGCAGAGCCCTTACCGCAACTGTGGGCTTGTGGCTCCGCAGTGGGGGCATGGCGCCTGCCGTGCAGGGCCGAGGGGGCAGCGCGGAGGCGCTGGGGAGCTGGGGCGCGGGGCCGGGGGACGGCATGGGACCGGGGCACAGGCTCAGAGTCCGGTGGCCGCCGCGGAAGCGGTGCAGGACGGCGCGGGTACGTGCGGGCAGCCTGCTCTCCGAGAGCCGCCGCGCCCTGGCCAGCGGTGCCCTGGCCAGCTCCGGCCTCACGCTGTGCGGCAATTCCAGTGAGCAGCGGCGGGGACCAGGGCTGGGGCTTGCCGGGGAGCCGGGCTGAGGGCTGCTGTGGTCCAGCTCTTGTTTGCTGGCAGAGGACACTTCGTCGTCTTCGTTTTTTTCCTCCTGCTCCTGGTGCCCGGCCTGCTGGCCTTCGGGTTTGGCAGGTGCAGGCCCCAGTCCATATTCGGGGCTGACTAGCAAGAGCCAGGCTGGAGGGGCTGACGCTGTTCCCAGGTCACCGCAGTGGTAGGGGAAGGGTCCTCGGATGGCAGCCTCTACCCAGAATAGAGCCTTTCTTTCCAGGCTGAAGTCGTGCTGCCAAGAGAGGTGATTTGAGACCCAGCTGGGAACCCTTGGGACCCTGTCCAGTCAAAGACTTTGCCAGTCTTGGACAGCTCAGTTCTGAGCCCCGGAATCCTTCACAGCCCACTCCCGCCCTCGGCTCTAGCTACCACTTGGATGTCATAGCAGTTCAATGGCAAACCATGGCATGAAGGACAGAGGGAGGAGTGAGTTAATAGAATGGAAGGCGGCAAAATCCAGAATTTAAAACCCTCAGACATTCAGCATGCTACCGAAAAACTTCTCCAATAAAACGTGATCTTGGCAAATAAGTTATCACGCATCCCAGCACCATTTCCTTTGAGCCATCTGCCAGGGATGAGTAATATCCCCCCCCAACACCATTTCCTGATATCCAAGGTTACTTTGGGGCCCAGGAAATGTAATAATCTAATCTTTGTTGAACTCTACTTAGTAGGTTCAAGTCCTTCCTATTTCCAGATTACCACAATGAGGCTATTGACTAAGAGTAGATTGGTGTGTGGCTGAGCCTGCCTTCCTTTACCTGACTGCAGGCTTTCTTCCATATTCTGCCACCTCAAAAAGCAATCTGGAGCCCACATAAGTCATCTAACTTGAGAGTTTATACATGAGGCAAAAACAAAGTATTCCTGTTTTCTACCTTTAAGGTTAAGAACAGAAAACTTACAATTCCATTAAAAATATAAAATTTTGAGACTGGTGGAGTGACTCAAGTGGTAAGAGCACCTGCCTAGCAAGTGTGAGGCTGTGAGTTCAAACTTGTGCTGTCCCCGAATGCATACGTACACACCCACATATATATATATATGTATGTATATGTATATATATGTATTTATGAATGTTAAATATATATATATATATAAAGACTGTAGGTATAGCACAGTGGTAGTGCACTTACTTGCTGAGCATGTGCAAGGCCCTGGGTTCCATCCCTAGCACCACAAAAAAACAATTTTAAAAGGTGATTTCAGTGCTGTCCCATGGCCAGTTAAAAAAAGAGAAAGTCTGGGGGAAGTGGGGATTGTTGAGGGGGAGGGAGGGCAGTTAGGCAGAAAGAGACATACAAACTAGAGCACAGTATTGCCCTCTCACTGACATGATCCTATTGTGGGGAGAGGTGCAGAATTCAGCTGCTCCAGTGTGACCGCCTGTCTGAGACCATGTCTTGTTCCTTTCTGTATCTTTAGGGCAGAGCAAGCCAGGAACAGAATAGACATTTATAAGCATGTGCAGAATCAGTGGTTAGATAAAGAGGCTGGAGGGAAAAAAAAGGCAGGTTGTGAAGGACAAAGGAGGGGAAAAAGACAATTTCATAACTGAGGCATATTGGAAAAAAATAGACTAAGAAATAAAGACAGCCAGCAGGATTTAGAGGGATAAAAAGATTTTAAAACCCAATAAAAAACCAGTACTTCTGATTTTGAAACTATACAAGATGATTCTAAATTTCATATGAAAACCAAACAAATAAGAATTGCCAGGAAAACACTGGGGACAAAAATATAAATAAGGAGAACTGGCTTTACCAGTTTTCAATAATTAAGCTATGGTACTATGCCAGACAGATTAAAGGTACATAACAGAAAGTCAGAAATAGACCTTAATATATATTGGGCTTTAGTCAGTAATAAAGGTGGCATCTCCAGCAAAAGGAAAAGAGAGGCTAATCAATAAGTTGTGAAAGCTTGAAAAAAAAAAGATTGGATCCATTGTCACATTGTACATACACAAGGATGAATTCCAAAAGGATCAAAGATTCAAGTATATGATATAATCCATCAAAGTACTAGGAGAAAACAGGAGAGAAATCCTTTATAATCTCAGATGAGCAGAGCCTTTCTTACTTTGGATCAAAATTCAGAGGCCATAAAAGAAAAGAAAATTGTATATTACAACATATGAGCAAATGCACAAAATATTCATGGCAAACATAACCTAGAAGCAAGGGCAAAAGACAAATGACAAACTGGAGAGGAGGGGATGACACATATCATAAACAGCTAACTTCACTAAATAGAGAGTGCCTACAAGTAGATAAGGAAAAGATCAACTGCCCAACAGAAAATGGGCAGAAGAGCTGGAGAGTCCACAAAAAAGAAAATACAAATGCCTCTTGAACATATGAAAAGCTGCTGAACCTCATTCAGTCCAAGAGAAAGGCAAAGTAAAACCATTCCAAGACACCTTTTGCCTATTTCTTGGCAGACCTGGTGTGAGGATGTCTTTGGGAATCTGGCAGGAAAAGGCACTTTTACAATGCAGATTGGGATGTAAGTTGTATGACCCCTATGGAGGGCAATCTGACAATATACTCAGACAAATGCTGAAGGGCATTTGCATATAGTTGGTGGTTCCCTGAAGCACTTTTCTAATGGCAAAAGACTAGGAACAACTTAAATGTCCATCAAAAGGGACAATGAAGTACACTATATCCACATGACACAAACTATTCAGGGAAAAAAGAAAATTGAAGCTTTCTATAGGCTGATATAGAAAGACCTTACAATACCTGCAGTAGAAAGACCAAAAAGAACAATATGGATACTTTTACTTTGTTAATAAATCACTCTTTACTATCTTTAAAAAAAGAATAATACATATGTTACATTCTGTGTTTTTAAAAAAAATGGTTGTATTTGCTTGTATATACACATGTAAGCATGTATGCATCTATAAGACATTTAAAATGAGTAACAGAGCCAGGTGCCAATTGCTCACACCTGTAATCCTGGCTACTCAGGAGGCAGAGATCAGGAGGATTGAGGTTCAAAGCCAGCCCTGGGCAAATAGTTCATGAGAGCCTATCTTGGAAAAACCTATCACAGATAAAAAGGCTGGTGGAGTGCTCAAGGTATAGGCCCTGAGTTCAATCCCCAGTAGCACAAAAAATAAAAATAAGTAGAACTAAAAAATAAAATGAGTAGCAGAGATAACCAATAAGAGGTAGAGGTGTGGTGGAAGTACTATGTATTCATATATGAAAATGGAATAATAAGACTTGTTGAAACTGTTCTAAGAAGAGGGAGAGGGAGGATAAAGGAGAAAGAAGGAGGGGGTGAATCTAATTAAGATGTATTGTAAGCACTTTTGTAATAATGTACCCCACCCCTGGGCCAACTATAATATGGTAATAAATAATTTTTTTTTAAATAGAGGTAGAGGTGGGGAACATGGCAGATTTTGGAAAGGTGTTAGGTGAGACTTTTCACTCTACCAGGGGTAGGCTAATACCTGTGGGCCAAACTAACCCCCACCCTGTTTTTGTAAGTAAAGTTTTATTAGAACATACTCATGGCCATCCACTATGACCATATTGTTTATGGCTTTCTCTCCACAACAGCAAAGTAGTCACTACAGAGTTTTTACTACCAAAAGTGTTTACGAATTCCTGTTCTATACATATTCATTTTTCTGGCAGTACTAGAGTTTGAACTCAGAGCCTTGCACTTGCTAGGCTCTGAGTTCAAACCATTTGAGCCTTTTTTTGCTTTAGTTGTTTTTCAGATAGAGTCTGGTGTTTTTGCCTGAGGTGGCCTCAGACCGCAATTCTCCTACTTATGTCTCCTGAATTGCTATGATCACGGACACACATACCATGCCCAACTTGTTGGTGAGATGGTATCTCACTAACTTTTTGCCTGGGCTCTAGAATAAGTTCCTCTGCCTCTTAAGAAGTCAATAGATATGAGCCACCAAGTCCAGCAACATCTTTTTTTGGGGGGTGGTATTAATTGGACTCAGGGCCTCATCCTTGCTAGGCCATGCCCCAGCCATATATGTGTATATATTCATTTTAAATCACACTAATTAGCTTTTTTTCTAAAAAATTAAATTAAAGCCGGGAGCCAGTGGCTCATGCCTTAATCCTAGCTACTCAGGAGGCAAAGATCAGGAGGACTGTGGTTCGAAACCAGCCCAGGCAAATAGTTCAAGAGACTCTATCATGAAAAAACCCATTACAAAAAAGGGCTGGTGGAGTGGCTCAAGGTGTAGGCTCTGAGTTCAAACCCCAATACTGCCAAAAAAAAAAAAAGAATTTAAAAAGTACACTAATTAAAAGGAAACCATGGGGAGGAAAAAAAGACTTGTTGAGACTTTATCTATGGAAGGAAGAGCTCCTTGGGAAAGTAAAAGTGGCAGAGTGGAGGGGACAGACATGGCTTGAGGCTTGACAGACTCTGTGTTGGAATTCTGGCTGTCACTCACAAGCTATGTGACCCTGTGGGTCACTTGGGTAAGAGCTTTGGTTTCATGTGCCATGTAAGAATATCAGTCTGTTAAAAAGATCATCATAAAAATAAGAGAGAAGAGCAAATGTATGATGAGTAGCTAGCATAGGCTGGGTGCACAGTAGATGCTTAATAAATGGGGATTATTATCATTTTTTCCCTTTATGCCACTGCAAGGTTGCCTTGCCATCTAATTATCATCTGCAGCATTATTGCTAGAGGGAAATGTGTTTCAGTTTCCAAATCTGGGGAATACAGCCTGTGAACTGAGAAGATTTATCAGGAGAGGCTGTCAGTCATCTTGGAGTCTCCTGCTTTTCTATTTGTAAGTTTGGCCCAGCAATCAAAGAAAGGAGGCTCAGGGAAGGAAACAGGCTCATAGGAGTGCAGTTGTCTGCCCTAAGAGGAGAGGCAGAGCCACCATAAGCATGTGGACATGGCCTTGGGAGAAGAGTACCTACTTTTGCTTCTAGATGAGAACCTTCAGAACTACCTCAGCTTGAGCTGAGCAGGGAGGGAAAAGCTGTGGTAATCCACCTCCAGTACAGCAGCCCTTCTCAACAACACAGGCCTGTGTCAGAGACAGAACCCACAGCACAGGCTGCCAGGGGAGAGCAAGAGCTCCTGCCACACAGCATGACACCTGGATGCTGTGCTTCAGGCCTTACAGAGCTCACTTGGTCCTGATGAGAGCCTCTGAGTAACTCCAGGGTCTGCAGATAAGCAAAACCACAGTGAGTCTTCTCTTGCACCCCTAGCCATCCAGGTCCCTCTACCTGACCCTCCCCGAATCTCTTTTTTTTCCACCTTCAAACCTTACCTGTCCTGTATCTTGTCTCTCATGTTCCAGGTCCTACTCTTAGCCAATATGAAATGACTTGGAATCTGGACCTGAGTTTTAGTTCTTTGCAGTCTTTTATTTTTAAGACTTTTTTTGGAGAACTGGGGTTAGAACTCAGGGCCTTGCACTTGCTAGGCAGGCGCTCTTAACACTTGAGCCATGCCCCCAGCCATTCTTTTCAGTCTGATTCTTTTATTTTTTAAGTTAATGTGAACTTTGTATTCTGCTCCATGATATATCTGTGTTATAGTGTAAGTGTAATGAGTTTCCCCCCTAAATTTACAGGAAGTTATATTGATTCTCCAGGAAGCTAAGTTGCTTTTATCCTGAGGTCACATGTGATACTACCACCTCCCCTTGGAATGTGTACCTAATAGGGTGTGAGAGAGAGGCCCCAGGTCCTTCTAGGCCTTTGGGGAGGATGTACTATGGGTCTGTGGAATAGCAGTCCTTTCTGATGTTTCCCATGGAACTGCCTGCATTTTAAGGAGGATTCTGAAGAGTGTCTTAATCCAAAAGAATGGATGAAGAAAATGATGGAGTTTCAGACATGGCAGAGGCTGGTAGGGAAGAGAGGAAAAAATGCAGCACTCTTGCAGTGACTGTCAGCCACTGCATACAGGTGGCCTCTCAGTTATCCTTAGCTTAAAACAAGAGCCACTAAACAATCCTCATCACCCAGCCTTTGCATGAGACACCTTCTCCTTTGTTGACTCACTTTCCAACTCCCAAGCTTATAAAGACCAAGCTGTTCTTTATAATCAAGGCACAGGCACCATGGGGCTCAGCCTCAGATCCCAGACCCCAGACAATGAGGAGCTTGAAAGAGACAGACAGTCACACTTACCATAGAACCCAGCAGAAGCTCCCTGCAGGCCAGGACACTGAGCTCTGGCACAGGGAGAGGCTCTGTGTTGACCACAAACCCCTTAGGCACCTTGAAGGGGACGCTGTCAAGAGCATTCATGTTGTCAGAGGAGGGTGGAGATGGCTCAGTAGGGCTGGGCATACCGCCTGGTGGCAGGGAGAGTGTAGGATCCCGAGGATCAGGGTGAGCCTCAGATGGCCTTGTTTTTCTCCTATGTGGTCACTTAGCTTGGTCCCCACTGTTGGAATGGAAAAGGTAAAGTGGCCAGGAAGGGAGGAAATGAATGAAAACAAGAGCATTCATATCAACAGGAATTGACTATTTCACGTCTTAGTCATGATCTAAACTTTTGTTTTCCAAAACATGGTCCACAACACTAGTTCTAAAGTACTTCATCAGAAGAGTTGTCACCTCAACTCTTAAAGAAGAAACAATGTCAAATTACACAAATTCTTGCAGAGGAGAAAATAAGGAATACTTCCTAATTCATTTTTATTTTGGCATAACCAAACATAGATGTAAAAATCTTAATAAAAATAATTATGGGGGGGATAAGGAAGGGGTATAGCAGGGTGGAAATATCATATACTAATGTATGAAAATGGAAAAAAGAGATACACTGGAACTTCCAGGAATGGGGGAGGGGATGTAAAGGAGAATGATAGGGTAATTTCAACTATGATATATTGTAAGAACTTTTGTAAATGTCACAATGTACCCCCAGTTCAACAATAATATGATAATAAATTTTTAATAATAATAATAATTATGAATTGCTTAATACAACACTGCCACCCTGAATTTATTCCTGGAATGACAGATTGGCTTAACATTCCAAAATTACTCAACAGGAATAAAGATAAATATCAACAGAATAAAGATGAAAATTATATAATTATATATATCCATAGAGGCAAAAAATACTTAATAAAATTAGTACCCAGTAATGATTTTAAGAAACGACCAACCCTTAGCTACTTAGGAATAAAAGGTAACTTCCTTGACCTAATAAAGAACATTTCTAGAACATCTAGAGCAAATATCCTACTTAATGGTGAAATACTGAAAGACATCCCCAAGATTGGAAATGAGACAAGGGTACCACCATAATTTCATCTGTTTGACATTGCACTAGAGGTACTAGTTTCTGCAAAAAGGGAACACAAATAATAAAACTATAAGAATTGAGGAAAAAAATAAAACAGCCATTATTTGTAGATGAGGAAAATCTACATGATATATGAGAATAACACTCTTTAAATTAGTGATGTAGCTTACCAAGGTCAATATACAAAATAAATTATATATCTATATATGAACAATAAACCACATGTAAATAGCATCTTTTAAGTTTTTACTGGAGATTGAAACATCAAAAATAAACCATTTGTATTAGCATCAACCACTAAATCTAACACAAGAGGTAATAAGACCTCTACACAGAGATCTAAAAAATTAGATTAAGTGGAGGAAGAGACCATGTTTATCAAGATTGTAAAACACAATCTTGTAAAGATAAACTCTCTCCAAATTGTTCTATAGATATCAAGTATCAAAATTGCACCACATTTTTGGTGTAATTTGGCAAGCTAATTCTAAAATTAAATGCAAAAGGTCAAGAAAAGCCAAGGTAATAATGAAGAAGCAACATAGAAACATTATACTATCAGAAACCAAGGCTTACTTTATTTATTTATTTTTATTCAGATGTGCATACAGTGTTTCGGTCATTTCTCCCCCCTTTCCCCACCTCCTCCCTTACCTCCCGCCCCCTCCCTCTCCCCCCCACCACCTTGCTACCCGGCATAAACTATTTTGCCCTTATCTCTAATTTTGTTGAAGAGAAGAGTATAAGCAGTAATAGGAAGGACCAAGGGTTTTTGCTAGTTGAGATAAGGATAGCTATACAGGGAGTTGACTCACATTAATTTCCTGTGCATGTGTGTTACCTTCCAGGCTAATTCTTCTTGATCTAACCTTTTCTCTAGTTCCTGGTCCCCTTCTCCTATTGGCCTCAGTTGCTTTAAAGTATCTGCTTTAGTTTCTCTGTGTTGAGGGCAACAAATGCTATCTAGTTTTTTAGGTGTCTTACCTATCCTCATACCTCCCTTTTGTGCTCTCGATTTATCATGTGATCAAAGTCCAACGCCCTTGTTGTGTTTGCCCTTGATCTAATGTCTGCATATGAGGGAGAACATACGATTTTTGATCTTTTGGGCCAGGCTAACCTCACTCAGAATGATGTTCTCCAATTCCATCCATTTACCAGCGAATGATAACATTTCGTTCTTCTTCATGGCTGAGTAAAATTCCATTGTGTATAAATACCACATTTTCTTAATCCATTCATCAGTAGTGGGACATCTTGGTTGTTTCCATAACTTGGCTATTGTGAATAGTGCTGCAATAAACATGGTGTGCAGGTGCCTCTAGAGTAACTTGTGTCACAGTCTTTTGGGTATATCCCCAAGAGTGGTATTGCTGGATCAAATGGTAGATCAATGTTTAGATTTTTAAGTAACCTCCAAATTTCTTTCCAGAGTGGTTGTACTAGTTTACATTCCCACCAACAGTGTATGAGGGTTGTTAGTGGTGTTGCTAGTGATGGCTATTCTAACAGGGGTGAGGTGGAATCTTAGTGTGGTTTTAATTTGCATTTCCTTTATTGCTAGAGATGCTGAGCATTTTTTCATGTGTTTTTTGGCCATTTGAATTTCTTCTTTTGAGAAAGTTCTGTTTAGTTCACTTGCTCATTTCTTTATTGGTTCATTAATTTTGGGAGAATTTAGTTTTTTAAGTTCCGTATATACTCTGGTTATCAGTCCTTTGTCTGATGTGTAGGTGGCAAATATTTTCTCCCACTCTGTGGATGGTCTCTTCAGTTTAGAGACCATTTCTTTTGTTGAGCAGAAGCTTTTTAGTTTTATGAAGTCCCATTTATCTATGCTATCTCTTATTGCTGAGCTGCTAGGGTTCCATTGAGAAAGTTCTTGCCTATACCTATTAATTCCAAGGTATTTCCTACTCTTTCCTGTACCAACTTTAGAGTTTGGGGTCTGATATTAAGATCCTTGATCCATTTTGAGTTAATATTGGTATAGGGTGATATACATGGATCTAGTTTCAGTTTTTTGCAGATTGCTAACCAGTCTTCCCAGCAGTTTTTGTTGAAGAGGCTGTCTTTTCTCCATCGTATATTTTTAGCCCCTTTGTGAAAGACAAGTTGGTTATAGTTGTGTGGCTTCATATCTGGGTCCTCTATTCTGTTCCACTGGTCTTCATGTCTGTTTTTGTGCCAGTACCATGCTGTTTTTATCGTTATTGCTTTGTAATATAGTTTGAAGTCGGGTATTGTGATACCTCCAGCATTGTTCTTTTTACTGAGTATTGCCTTGGCTATTCATGGCCTCTTGTGTTTCCATATAAATTTAACGGTAGATTTTTCAATCTCTTTGATGAATGTCATTGAGATTTTGATGGGAATTGCATTAAACATGTAGATTACTTTTGGGAGTATAGACATTTTTACTATGTTGATTCTACCAATCCATGAGCATGGGAGATCTCTCCACTTTCTATAGTCTTCCTCAATCTCTTTCTTCAGAAGTTTATAGTTTTCCTTGTAGAGGTCATTCACATTCTTTGTTAGGTTTACACCTAGGTATTTGATTTTTTTTTTGAGGCTATTGTAAACGGAATTGTTTTCATATATTCTTTCTCAGTTTGTTCATTATTAGTGTATAGAAGTGCTAATGATTTTTCTATGTTGATTTTATATCCTGCTACCTTGCTATAGCTATTGATGGTGTCTAGGAGCTTTTGCCAAGGCTTACTTTAAAGGTGTAGGAATTAAAACAGTGTGGTAGTGACATGAGACTCTATAAGGAGACTAATAGAACAGAAAACAAAGTCCAGAAATAGACCCACACATATTGGAGTCTTGATTTACAACAAAAAACTGACCCTGGGAGGGCGGTAAGGGATGGGGCAAGGGGAAGGGGGTAAAAATGACCCAAACATTGTATGCACATATGAATAAAATAAAAATTAAAAAAAAATTTTCAGTTAGGCAAAGTAAAAAAAAAAAAAAAAAGACAAAAAACTGACCCTGTAGAGACTTCTACACTTGTGATTCAATAGAATGTTCAAATTTCAAACGGTAACAGAATGTGATTGATAAATCCGAGAATGCAAAAACTCCGTGTCTCCTGTGACTGTAAGAACAAGTTGACAGAGAGGTAATTTGCTGGTTTTACGAGAACCTGCCCACACTGTCTGGTAGAGGATGAGTCCTATGTACAGGGAGGCACTGACAAGAATGGACAGATGGGGGAGAAGAAGGGGGATTAAGAGATTTGTCTCCCTGCTCTCATTTGACCTGTCTGCACTCAGATTACCCACCCTACCTCTCCATGAGGCCCTCCTAGGGAACAGGATGACCGCACGATGAACCCAAGCAGCAGGGCTCTTCATCATCCTGGGAGGGATAACAGATTGTGTGGAGTTAGAGGCACACTTTGATGCAGGCTCCCTCATATACACGGGTTGTTTGCAAAATGCCAGACTGTGGTCTGGAGTCTAGATTTATAATATAGGCAGTCATGAGTTTAAATTTAGTGTGGATGAAGTTTTTTCTTTTAGCTTAAGATTCAATATTTAATCCCTGGTTCCTGTAAGTATTACTAAACCAAGGGCACATACTACAGTTAATGTTAATCAAAATATCAAGAATGCTTTTGCAGTACTGAGGTTTGAACTCAGGGCCTCACACTTGCTAGGCAGGTACTCTACCACTTGAGCTATGTCGCCAGCCCTAGATGAGTTAATTTTTAATTCTGGAATTTCAGCTTTTGTAGATATCAATACTGATTGAGAATTACAGACATTCACATCCTCATCAATTAAATATGGTCAGGCCTTTTATATTTCAATTAAGTTAGTTAGTTAGTGGCACTGGGGTTTGAACTCATAGTCTTGTGCTTGCTGAGCAGGGTCTCTACCAGTTGAGCCATGCCCCCAGCCCTTTTTTTACTTTAGATATTTTTCCAATAGGGTCCTGTGTTTATGCCTGGGCTGGGCTGGACCAGCATTCTGCTATTTACACTTCCTACATAGCTGGATGACAGGCATGAGCCACCATGCCCAGCTTTTATTGGTTGAGATGAGGCCTCACTAACTTTTTGTCTGGGGTTGGTCTGAAACTGTGATCCTCCCAATCTTTTCCTCCCAAGTAGCTAAGGTTACAGGCATGAGTCACCAGCACCATAGGAGCTCTT